CGTCTCCGGACCACTAACGCGGCTCTCGGTACCGCATCGACAACCGCGGCTCTTGGTACCGCATCGACAACTCCTTCATTGAGCAACAGCTCGTGTGGTACCTGCCGCAACTCTGTTGCTTCGTCTTCCTCCACCCCCTCTGCTTCATCGTGAACCAGTGCCGGTACTGGCTCTATTATCTCCTGCTCTTCACACTGTTGCTGTTCGGGGAGGTGGAGCACGAGCTGCTCCTCATTTCCACGTTGCTTTTCCCCAACTTTTCCTTCGTCGTGAGCTTGACGCTCACTTCGTTCCAATTTCGCTCCTAATTCATTAATCTAAAGAGGAATATCACTTACAGCGGGTAATGAAGAGTTCAACAGAACGTTTTTAGTCTTTATACTGAATATCCCATACTGACATTTTCATTGCATTTTTGAGTGACCTCACAAGAGAAGGTTTTCTTTTCTTGTCAAGGATTTTGTACACTCTTCTAGTATTAATCCTAATAATAATAATAGCAAAAGTTAGCAATTATTTTTAGGTAAAGCCATGGATAATAGAAATGCCTTACCATAAAAAAACTTCACATCAAAAATAAACATACCAAATGTGCCGCATTTCGCAAATATTCCTCCAACACTTGGTAGTACAGCGGCTTCTCCTCACGCAGATATTTTTTCAAATCTGCCAAATTTGGTAGCTTTGGACCAATTTGGTCAGCATTTTCGAAATTAAATTCCATTTGCTGAAAAAATTTACAGATTTGAAGTTGTGCAACAATTTGTGTATAATATAAAATTGAAACGATAATTAGAAGTTGAAATTCTACACATATAAAATAACCAAGTACTGATATCGTGAAATACTGATATTGACATCAACATAGTACTTTAGTCATTTTAATATAAGTTAGACTAAACCACACAATGCCAAAAAAAGCGAAGAAAACCTTCTTATAAACCTTATTCCCTAAACCGTTCAATAATCCTCTACATTGCTATCGCTACATGCATCTCTGTCTTAGTAGTAAAATAGCACGTGCTAAATCATGTCACTTTAATGTAAGTTAGCGTAAACCACACAATGTCAAAAAAAAAAAACGAAAAAGTAACTCCAAATAAACCTTATTTCCTAAACCGTTCGATAATCCCTCCATCACCATCGCTACATGCATCTCTGTCTTAGGATAATACGTGCCAAATCATA